ATTATTTTCGTCACTGCTGTTTTAGCCAGTTGCTATAAAAGTCTCAAGCCTTATGGCATGTATGCATATCTGTTTCATGCTGAAGCAACTGTGACAGAGATCTTGTATGATCAAATTTATTCACTGGATTTTTCAAAACCCTTAGTAATTGGGGGGGTTTGTTGATTGTCTTGTCTTTTTTCTATCTCAGAGGGTCTACACAGATCATTCTTTAACCCAGATAATTTCAGTGACCCATTCTACAGTATGTCCTTACAAACAGTAGTGTTGGCACAACTTGAAGGAGTATTGAACTGCAGCGTAGGGCAGAGATAATAGGTGGCATCGCATTGCATGGAGATGGAGAATGTGCCAATCTTAGATGAAGGGCCTCTTTGTCAGAATTGGCAGTTTGAGGAAAATGGACATGGAATGATACTGTGGATGTCTTGTATCTTTATGTATTATCAGTCCTGTAGTATCAGTTGAAATTCTAAATTTCTCTTTACTTCTACTTTGAAAATCAGAAACTAGATTGTTATTTTTAGGAGTGTTAGTTAACAATATGTTTCAAGGATTCTGTTGAAATGGGAAGTGACTTCACATGTGCTGGGGGGGGTTCATGATTTATTTTCTTGGGATGGATTGTTTCTAAACCAGACCAATCACTAGGCATGTAACATTTGCACACTTGTTTCTAAGAAATGCTTATTTTGTGAGATAGTCCTTTATTTTGTGGGATTTTTATATATCTCCTTGTGTTGGAGAGTAATTACTGATACAGTGTAAAATCAGTCTTCTTTCTGTTATATTAGTTCCTATGTCCCTTTTCCAAAATGCTTATAAGAGAGGAAATGCTTGATTGCGTGGTTATCCTTTTAGTTTTTACATTTTGTAAGCTTATGAAATTATATTTTTTTGAGTAGTGTTTTCCTTGATTCCTTTATGAAAATGACCTGCTGACTTGAGTTGTTTCGCACGGTTAGTATCATGAATGCAGATTTCTCCTCAGACAGTATGCAGCTTGGGCTGGCTGCATCTGAAATAAAAATTAAATTCCATGGCAGAAATACTTGCTTTGCTCTGTTAGTCACTGGCTGAGATAGTTCAGTGTAATCATGTCTAAGATGATTCACAGGATGCTTTAACATCTGATTAGCTCGGAGAAAAGAAAATCGATTCAGGGCATTATTTTTCCATGTTCCGAAACAATGTATTTTGTGATGCCATTTCACTGAGTTTTTTATGTGGTATGAAAGCAAAATAGTGCTTAAGGCTAGAAGGGGATGAGTGACGCGTGTCATCTGGAATTTGTCAGAGCAGCTAAAGCCAGCCTTGCAAGCAATACTTGGTAATCAAATGACAGCATCCTGTTGACAGAATCCGTGTGGCTAGTGAAATAACACATTTATAAATACAAACGAGATGAACAATTTAATGTCGAGTTAATGAACTGAACGTTTACTTGTCATTATGAAATACAACACTTAATCATACTGTGTAGTAACAAATAAGAATATTCTTGCTGAAATCTCCCAGTGCCATTTTGGTAGCAAGATGCATTTCAGAGTGGTTACATGAGTAAAGACTGAATTTCTTTCACTTTAAGTCCACAAGGAGTGTATTTCTGGGAGTTAATGTCAATTTCTAGTGATCTCACATGGATGACATCAGGTATTTTACAGGGTTTTCTCATTTAGCTATGAGTATAGCCCTTTAATACTGTTGTTTGTTTGAGTGTTTTTTTCATTAGATTAGGATTTCATTTTGGTACCTCTGTAGCAAAAACTTGCTGCTGCTTGTCAAAAGCAGTTCCATCTAAAAATCACCAAAGCTACTTGCAGGCAACCCTCGGCCCAGGAAAAGGCTTATGCCTTTTTGTGTTCTCATAGGATGTTGCGTGTTCAGAAATAGCTTGATGTACTGCATTCTGTAACTTTTCCTTGGCAAAGCAGATTAATTTGTACAACTGTGTGTGCAAAATATTACTTACACATTTAAAAAGAATCATGATTTGATATTTTAAATAGTAATGGTGATACATATGGGAGAACCCTTGAGATATATTCAGCTGGAAATCCCCCTGACTGAAGTAAAATTTCTGTCTTGATACCGACTGAAGAGTTTGACACGAAGTAAGTTTTCTTTGAATGCTGCTGTTTGAGATTCTTCCTTGTTATTCTGGTTAATTGTTTCTTGTCAAAATTTTCCTTAGAAACAAACAGCGGAGTAAAACATGCTTAGATCTGGTCAAAAGATGTGTATTTGCATAAGGTGTGGTTGATTTGATTATCAGATTTCTAAGGGGAGGTAATCAGAACGGTATATCGAACCAGTAGGCAGACAGAGAGGCAGATCCGATTACGATATCCTGAAGACACTTTGTGGACTGGTCAATCCTTCCTCTGAGTAGAACCATGAATAGGGTGTCTGGGGGACAAGGGGCTACAGTTCATATGCTATGTGCTGTTTGTGAGAATATGTACTGCAGTTAATCCATTGGGTGTGCAGGTGTTTCAATTTCATAATGAACTGGAATAACAAAATAGCTGCTTATTTTTTATGACTTTTTTGGTAATCCTAGAACAAAGTCATAAATAGTCAAACAGTAGTTCATTGTATAGTACAAGTAGTATGGATTTAAGTGACAGTGGTGAATTGATGCCGTCAGAAAGATTAAATTTATCACATAAGAGGTCCCTGTGGAAGAAGCAGCAGCACATTATGCCACAGCCTTCCATGAGGCTACATCCAATCCTAGACATAGGTTATGTAATTAGTGCAGTTAAATCATAATGTGTCTAATGTAATCTAATTCAAAAGGTGGTAAAGAATAGGTTGAAGGCAGAGCTGTTAGCAGTTATGTTTATAACTGTAAAATAAAAGTGGCAATGCTTTTTCCAAGCCTGACTAGCTTCTGTAATCTGGCTTTGCATAAACAATGTTTCTGACTGTACTACTAAGTATTTTTATAGGGGATTAATTGTATTACTTTTTTTTTCAGCCTACCCAGAATCTACCTTCAGTATTTGGCAGCAAACATCCACTGATTACATATTTTTAATGAATACATTATATAGTAATTTCTTTTTGAGAAAGTCTGAGTAAAGGGTAGCATTAAGCAAGCAGTAAAGAAAGTTCTACAACTTACTTGGTTTTTTTTTAACCTTTGTACCCGTTAACTGCGCTATTTTTGCAATTCATGATTGTAAAACAGGAAGTTATTAGCTACCAACATTCCCACACAATGCGCAATAACATTTCATTATCATGTTTTATGGTAATTTAGAATGTGCTCTTTTGTTGTGTCCTGAAACCCTATGTGAGTTCTGTCATCAAAGGATGATGTGGAGTAGTGAGGGCTGTACGTTAGCAGCCTTTTTCTTGTTCCGTTTGAACTAACCCACCTCTGTGCAGGGTTACTCTGAGCAAGATCAAGCCTACCATGTCTTCTAAACTCCTCCTTGGTGTTTGGGAATCAGAATGAGGCTATGGTTTTCTACACTTGGATTACAGTGTGTTGTGCTTTGTTTCTTCTTAAATGCTTACAATGGTGCTAAAATTAAGACACCATGTTCCTTATGGAAGATAAATGCCAGAGATTGAAAATAATTCAGCTATATTGTACATTTGTCTTCTACTTAATATAATAAGTATATTAGAAATACAGATGGAGTGGAACAGAGCTTTCCTACGTCTTTGCCTATATACTTGGACATTGGAGTTAAAATTATTTCTGGGCATGTGTTAAGTAGTAGACTCCCTTTTCCTCCTCATAGAATTTCACAGACCACTAGACCTTTCCTGGTGGTTGACAACAAATCATTTTGGATTTGCAAAATGTGTGTTAGAGTTCACAAGCCATCTCAGCTTTTTGTGTAAAAATATTTATAGTCTTCATCGAAATGACATACCTGGAGTTACTGCTCTTTATTTGTCATGTCTGCAAAATCACATTTTGTTCTTGTTCATGTAGAAAAAGGTACTATTGCCTCTTGATTCTGTGCCAAAAATTACACCATTATCTTAGGGCATTTTGTACCAAAATGTATCATGAATCATTGCTGAGCTGCATGAGGTAAAGGAGAGGTGAGTGGCACAGCATATCCTTCCTGGTTGCTACCAGTTTTTATCCCTCCACTTAGCACTGCTGTTTGTTTTAACACAGTTGCTGTCTGCTAACAGTTTGGTTATATTACTAGATGTGATCACAGCTTATTTTAGTTCACATTTGCATATTGACTTGAACTGTATTTCCTTTTAATGGCAGTATGCCAGACTTCATAATGATGTAACTGACTAGAAACTTATGACAGTACATGTGCATGAAAGAAGAAAGGAAACTTGCCTACTTACAGAGGCAAAAATGGTTGGTAGAGCTAGAAGAGAAGTTTGGTTTGTTCAGTCATGCTTCAGAAATAAAACTGCCTTTGCGGTTTAGATAGGCCCTATTTAGCCTAACAAAGAGAGATGCATGATTTTTATACCCAAATCCCATCAGCTGTGAATGCGAGGGTGGTAACAAGTGCTTTTTTTGACATTCAAAAGGTCTCCAAGAATACTTTCTCAGTTATAAACAGGAGATAAAGGGGAGGTAGAGAGTAGACTAGGCAAAAATGCTCAATAAGGTCTGGAACATGCATCAGAGGTGACTTTAAAAACATCTGTAGTTCCTAAGTATGTGGTGGAACTATTAATCGATTATTTGCTATAAATAAAAAAGGTGCTGACTAGACATACCTTCCTCGACTACAAAATAACATCAGGTTACATTTCAGCTATGCATTCTTCCTTTCCTGCTTTTATTAAGAGCGTTGAGCTAATTAGATAACTAGCATTTTGACTTATGTGGGGTAGTAAAAGATTTTTGTTTAATTATAATTTCGCACATTTTCCTAATAAGAGAAACTTGTGCTTTGAAGCCCTGTTTTTACCTGGGTTTTCAAAATGCTGCCGTGTAATTCATACTGCATGTAGTCTTTTTTTTTGTTTCATTACAGCCATTTCTTCTTTGTTGATAGGTTCTAGAAAGTTTTAAGATCATGGATTACAGTCTGCTACTGGGAATCCACATACTGAACAGTAACATGAAGGAGAAAGAGGGAGAGAATTCCCAGAGCACATCAGATGCGAAACGTCCTGGAGGGCAGAAAGTTCTTTATTCCACAGCAATGGAGTCTATACAGGGCCCTGGGAAGTCAGGGGACTCTATCACCCCAGAGACAACAAACACGTAAGTGCCATAAACTGCTCTTAAGTTTACTATTAAAACTTGCACATTCTGTTTGTCTAGTCTGTGCCACTTGGTATTAAGAGGCAAAACATGTAAGACTACACTGCATTTCAGGAATTGAAGGATTTAGCTTTTTTTTTTTTCCCCGAAAAGCTGGACTGTCAAGATTTGCTGCACAGCAGGAAATTAAAATGTTGCTTAGTAGATTGATCATCTTTAAATACATGATAGTAAATTTGGTTAGTTCAGAGTGACTTATGTATGCACAAGTGCATTCATCTATCAAACAGATGTTATGAGACAGCTATTACCAGAGTCCCAGGTATAATCTAGTTTTAACTGGAAGCAGCCTGATGAGCCATAAGCAAAAACTGTTTATTAACATTGAAATGGATATTCCTGCAGTGATTATTTTAATCTCAAAGTAGAATACTCAATACATAGAACTATATCATCAACCACTGAAGTGCAGTCATATCCATGTACGATATTTCCTGAGATTTAAAAACTACTGCTTTCCTCTTATTTTTCTGTCTAGCAAAAACTGCAGTAGAAATTTAAGTACATAGACAATAGTTACTCTGTTTTACCTTTGAAATACACTCGGTGTTAGTGACAGCATTATGTTCACCAGTCTCATTTTATATAATGTCCTTCATTATAATGAGCGTTTAATTTCAAATTAAGGATTTACTTTTCTCCTGGTTCTCAAGGGAGCTGTCTAGGTAAAGACAACTAAAGATATAGAAACATGTGCTTAAACCTACAGCAAACAAATGGAAGAGAGACAATATTTAGCATTTATAGAGAGTTTCCAGATGTTCAGAGCTCTAGAATATAAATTAGACAGAGCTGAATTTCACTCCGTTTTTACAGCATTACTCACATTCACACAGAAGATGGTGAATGTTTTTCTATAGTGGTAGAGGCATTGCACTGGCAGTTTTGGGGGCTGTTGGTTTTTGGTTTTGTTTTGGTTTTGTTTTTTAACTAAAAGCCAAAGCTGATTATATAGGTCATCCAAGAAAGTTGCTGTCGTTATTATGGATGGAAACCCACCCTGGGCTCCCACCTCACTTGACCTAATGTAGTGCTGCCCAGATGCTGAGCGGTATAGCACCACTGCTGAAAGCCTACTGCATCAGTTGAGTCCTTCCTTGGCCCCTTGCAGTATCTCCTCTGTTGTACTGAAATAACTGGTAGTGTGACAAACTCACTGAGGTGGATAAAAATAAGCCTAGGTCTTACAAAAAAAGACCCCTAGGTCAGGCTTCTGCTGAGGTACATTGTAAGGCCGTACAAGCATGAGGATGAGAATGGATACCCAGCGGCAGTAACTGCTGCTTTTACTGGATTGAATTTACAGTCATAGCTTCCTGGAAAAGCTGAAAGCTGACAGAGTATAGTTTTGTAAACCACTTAACATTTCTGGATGTCTGACCAGTTAATTGAGCTGGAGTTTACAGTGATGGGGTTTTACAGTAATTTAAACTCCGCTTGTTCTTACGTGGTTTCCTTTGTGCCTAGAATAATAAAAAACTTCCCCTCCCTGCCCTCCCCCCCAAAAAAGGTTGAGTTTTGTTCTCCTGCTTTGTCAGGGGAAGGGACTACTATGCTTTAGTGGCAGAATGAGGAATATACTCTCAACTGTGTCTTTGGTAGCTGTTTCAGGTGTGTGTTATTTCTCAAACTGTTAAAAAAGATTTGAAGGTATTGCATGTGTTGCATCTTCAGTCTCTTTTTCTTCTGGTTTTGTAGTGGGTCCATCAGTCAACAGAAGCTGACAAACTGAAAACTGGATTTCAGTTTCTGGTTCTAAAAACAATGGACCCTTTTTTTCTAGGTGGTGGAGTAGGAAGAGAGAGTCTTAGGATAAGCACCTTGTTCTTTAAGGTCATGGCTGCACAAATACTCTGAACCAAGTGGAAATCCAGGCAGTCAGGCTTCTCAGCTTGATACTGGTACTTTTTCTGTCACTAACCTGTCTGTAAATATATTTTGGAAAAGTACACATTTAATTTTTAGTGAAAAATACACAAAACAACTTTTTTAGACTTGGAGTAATGTGTGGACTCTCTACAGTTCTGTTACATGTGATCAATAAAGTGACAAAATTCTCCTTTAGCTAGATAAAATTTTCAGATCACCTAAATATTTCCAATTCTATCTAAAAGTTTTCCTAAAATACTCTTTGTTTATAGTGGCTATTTACCACTGGATCTCAGATACTTTAGGTTTGCTATTTAAGATCAGTTGTATTCTAAGTGACCCACATTTGACTGATTCCACACTGTGGCATCTAGCTTTAATGTTGTGCCTATTTCTTTGCGTTTGCAAGTGAGTACAGTTCACCTGCTAACTGATGATCAGAGGTGTCTTTAAAGATAATCTATGTTTTTGTTGTTTCTCTCAGAATGGGAGGTATTCCAGCTAAAAGCCATAAAGGAGAAAAGCTGCTTCTATTTATGGGTATTATTGATATTCTCCAGTCTTATAGGTGAGCTGAATTTCAAGTTTTTATTGAATAAGCTATTCTGTGGAAAAGCAGTTCTGATTTTGGTTTTGTATGCTTAGGTTAATGAAGAAGCTGGAACATTCTTGGAAAGCTCTTGTTTATGATGGGGTAAGTAGATTTTATTATTTTTTTTAACTGCTGATATTTTAGCTAATGGAACTTTGACTCATGTTAACCAGGAAAGAGCTAGTTCTGGTATATTTATAGTCTACCATCACGACATGCTTTGGGCTGTTGCTGAAATCTTTTAGGTCCATTTCCCAATACATGCTTTGATGTTCAGGTTGGATATTAGGAAGAACTTCTTCACTGTAAGAGTAGTTAGGCATTGGAACAATCTCCCCAGGGATGTGGTGGACTCACCATCCCTGGAGGTGTTTAAAAAACGCTTAGATGTGGCGCTTTGAGACATGGTTTAGTGGGTTTAGCAGGCATGGTGGCATCGGGTATACGGTTGGACTTGATGATCTTTGAGGTCTCTTCCAACCATAATGATTGTATGATTCTATGATTTTTATTTATTGATCGTTCAAAAAGCAACTAAAATGATCAGCTTGTCCTTGTAACTTGCACAAGGCAATGGCCACTTAGCAGGACACTGATGAATCTGTAAGTGAAAACTGGACATGATGTGAAAAAAGGCATTTCAAATGCTGGGAAGATTTTGCAGAATGTGTCTGTATAATTCATGACTCATAATTTCATAAATGCAGTACCTAAAGAAAAGTTCTTGAAGAATTAACCTTTCAAAAGGAAAAACTTGTTAGGATTCACTTGTTTTGAGTATGCCTGAAATGTAGGGTATAGTTTAGCTCAGGTGTCCAGCTTCTTTCTTGACAATTTACTTGTGATTTAGTTATGGAAAATGTGACTGGGACATTTTTCGATCTTGTAGGACACTGTTTCAGTTCACCGACCAAGTTTTTATGCAGACAGATTTTTAAAGTTTATGAGTACAAGAGTTTTCAAGAAAGTTCAAGGTAAGAAAGTTGTGACTTTTACTCTTTGGGATATTTTTATAATCATTACTTTATAATGCTCCTGTCTTGGCAATAAAGGAATCCTTTCTTCAACATCATGTAGCACTTACATTGCCAGAAGTTGAGTTTATTCACTGGAGCTAATGGGATTGTACTCTAACAGTAAAATTACAAAGAAGTACTTCCTATGTATATTTTGTCACATCAGGGACATCTGAGGGTAAAACAGGTTCCCATGTATTAGCGTTGATATAAAGATAAAATTAATGATCTAATGATGTGTCCAGTAATGCATCTGTTATTCATAGGAATACCCCCATTGATTTTAACTTATTTAATTTGCAAAAGTAAAGATTGTTTATGTACCACCTCCAGCATGTTTGAAAAGATAAGCATTCTTCCCTTTGATATGGATTTCTTCTGAACTTTATCAAGGAAAAAAAAAATCAGAGGTTGGATATTAACAAAGTCTTTTGTCTTTGTCACTATCACCTGTTTCTAGTTTCCTCCTCCATTTCTCCTTCCTTAATCTTGTAACTCATTCTCAAAGGTAAGATACATATCACTATTAGCTACTTACAGGGTGTAATTAAGTGGATGCCAGGTGCACACCAAGCCACTCTATAACTCCCCCTTCTCAACTAGACAGGGGGAGGAAAATATAACAAAAGGCTTGTGGGTTGAGATAAGGGCAGGGAGAGATCATTCACCAGTTACTAATCACGAGCCAAATAGACTTGACTCAGAGAATGAAATTAATTTATCATAGAATCATAGAATGCTTTGGGTTGGAAGGGACTTTTAAGGGTCATCTAGTCAGAACCCCTCTGCAATGAGCAGGGACATCTTCAACTAGACCAAGTTGCTCAGAGTCCCGTCCAGCTTGACCTTGAATGTTTCCAGGGATGGGGCATCTACCACCTCTCTGGGCAACCTGTTCCAGTGTTTCACCACCCTCACTGTGAAAAATTTCTCTCTTATATCTAGTCTAAATCTACCTTCCTTTAATTTAAAACCATTACCCCTTGTCGTGTCACAACAGGCCTTGCTAAAAAGGTTGTCCTCATCTTTGTTATAGGCCCCCTTTAGGTACTGGAAAGCTGCTCTAAGGTCTCCCCGGAGCCTTCTCTTCTCCAGGCTGAATAACACCAACTCTCTCAGCCTGTCTTCATAGGAGAGGTGCTTCAGCGCTCTGATCACCTTCATGGCACTCCTCTGGACTTGCTCCAACAGGTCCATGTCCTGCTTGTGTTGGGGTCCCCAGAGCTGAAGGCAGTACTGCAGGGGGGATCTCACCAGAGCAGAGTAGAGGTGGAGGATCCCTTCCCTCGACCTGCTGGTCACACTGCTTTTGATGTAGCCCAGGATATGCTTGGCTTTCTGGGCTGCAATCACACACTGCCAGGTCATGTCCAGCTTTTCATCTACCAGTACTCCCAGTCCTCCACAGGGCTGTTCTTGATCACATCATCCCCCAGCCTGTATTGATACCTGGGGTTGCTCCGACCCAGGTGCAGGACCTTGTACTTGGCCTTGTTGAACCTCATGAGGTTCATACAGGCCCACCTCTCAAGCTTATCCAGATCCC